TATAGGGTTAGGGTTAGGGTTATGTAGTATTTTTATAGCAGTTTCAGTAGGGGACATTTTTGTCCTCTAAGGTTAGAAGTGGGAGTTTTTTGTTAAAATCACTCAGCAAACCTGCACTTTTTCTTATCCTACTTAATAACCATGTTTATTTACAGATCATTCTCCTTAAAGACACTTTAAGTGATCATCATAGATAATGCAGTCAAGCAAAAGTCTGCACAATAAACCCTGCTTGATTGCTGCTGATAATACACTTTGTCTGTCAGCTATCTCAGACACTTTGATTGAAGCAATCATAATTCATTTAATTTGAGAATTTAAAGTCGGGTAAAATCAGTCTGTGGGGAAATGGCTGCTACAAACAGGATCAAAAGTTTTTATTCTTCAGCAGGTTCTAATTTGATTTGACCTCTTCTCTTGTCAGATCTTGGCCCTGGTGTTCTCCATGCTGATGTACTGTCAGATTCTGTGCGCTGAGAAACACTTGGACTGACTGCAGACCAGCTGCTCACTGGCCCCTGATGTGAAGGCTCATCCTCTGAAATCTCTGCCATACACCCCTTCAATATGATCCGAACATTCAAAAGACTGTAATGATCCAGTGTTTATTTTGGTTTCAGTCCTGAAATAGGTGCCTTATAAATCCCTTAAGATTCCCCAAAAAACTCCTGTAACACTAACAAAGATCAGTGGGTGCACTGACACTGGTGGTACAGAAAGCCAGTAGTAACAGACTGAAGAGGTTGGTTGTCTTTGTACCAGCCATAGAAATGTCAGATCATCAAGTTTTCATTTTAGAATCCATTGGCCTCCAGACAAAACAAATTAAAATAATCTTGATGCATTGCTCCTGCAGAGTAACCTGAGGGGAAACATGAGTCCAATGTTATTTTTAAATTCTATTTTTAAAAGACACATTTTGCTCTCTCCATATTTTACAGTATTTTGTCTCCACAGTTGCTCATTTTAGATTGTTTTTAATGTGGAGGTGTGAAATTTTAAAAGTTATATTATGTGAAACAACAAGAGGTGCATTCGTTATTTGGACTTATTAATTTAGATGGGGCACTATGGTGCAGTGGTTAGCAGTGTCGCCTTACTGCAAGACAGTTCTGGGTTCAAACCTGCTGGCCAGCTGGGGCCCTCCTGCCTGGAGTTTGCAGAACTCTCCCTGTGTCAGCATGGGGTTTCGCCAGGTTTTCTGGCTCTTCCTCCAACAGTCCAAATTTTAACTTGCTGGTAGGTGTGAATGTGAATGGTTTACTGTCTCTAAAGGTCCTGACACACCAAGCCAAAGGTCAGCAATTGATCAATCAATATGTTTACATGCGCAGTTAAGTGGAGCTACAGTTACAGCTCGACTAGGCAATTTAATTGGACTACTGTCCTTGTTCCAGTATACAAGCACGAGAGGGGAATTGATTTATTGACCGGAGGATGTCTGAATCCGCTACGATAGGTAGGGATATGCCCCCTTTCACCTTGTTAGTATTGGACCTAATTCCAGTTGACCTATTACGTCACAGACCAAACAATCAACAAACAAGTTAACTACGTTTAGCTAGCAGCAAACTGGTACTGTGATGGTCAAGTTTACAGCTCTGTGCATTTTTTTCGTCCAAAAATTACACAACTCTGGATGTAGATTTCACTATTTTGTCACCAGCTTCTTTCTCTGTTAAGCATTTAATGCTATTTGACTCCTAGATCAAAGTCCGTGGTGGAAGCTGCGGAGCATTTGCAGAGTAGGCCAGTTTGGATCCGATTGACTGTATACATGCAGGAGTAATTCAACGCCCAGTCGCACTATCTGGGTGTGTTAATCCAACTTTGAAAAATTAGATTTAGCAAGATACCTGTTTACAGGTATGCTAAAAGTCTGGTTTTAGTCGCACTAACACAATAAATTATTTTTCTTTAATGTCATGTAAACACACTGAATGTTGGGCAATTGGTGAGCATCTGTCGCCCTAGTCTTTGCAGTGTGTCCTACACTGTTGCCCCTTGTTGGTTTATTTTTAGCTGATTCAGCATGTTGAATCAGTGTCAGTAGAACCTGTTGGTGAATGAAATCACTCTGATTGGCAGTTCAGCTCAGCACGTGAGAAAAGAAACAGAAGTGAGTTCAGTAAACAAAGAGCTAAAGTCCAGAGGGAGTGAGATCAAAACAAACTTGTTATATAAGGTAAGATTATTTTTTAAGCCATGGAGCTCTTAAGCAGAAACGTTTCCTGATGGTTTGTGTAATTGTTCACCGGCGCACAGTAAATACTTTCTGTTCTTTCAACATTGGATTTTGTTAACTAGTGTCTTCCTGTTTCCCTTTTTGAATGACAATTTCAGACCACTGTTGGCTGGTGTGGAGAGTTATTTCCTCTCATGCAGGTGCAGAACGTACGTGCTGGTTGGACATTGGCTGTAGTCTTTGCTGTGTGATCATGTGCAGCTTTTTGGGCTTCATTGCCGCTAGTTCTCTGAAGTCAGTTTGGTGTGTCTTGGCCTTAAAGGGCCAGTGTGTAAAATGGGTTGAAAACAGTGACATCAGTGGTCAAATTCTAGATTGCAGGGCTCACTCGCTCACCCCTCCCGTCGGGTAAATGACGGTGGCCTCGTAGGGACAAAAAGCCTTGCGCACGAGTTTTTCAGGAGTAGGTCTATCTAGCGACGAGGTGAATGTTTATTTAGAAATCTAAGCCATGTTACGATATTGTAATGAATCCCTCACGAGCAGGAGACCAGAGGAGCGTTCGGGAAAAAGGCCCGTTTATTTGAGCACTCCAGAAACTCCGGTAACTCCAGGGGGTAAAAGACTCCGTCCCAAACTCTGACTCTTCTAGCGTAACAGACACACTTCATAACTTTACACACATACTCGTTTACCTAGGGTGACCATATTTGATTTCCAAAAAAGAGGACCCTCGGCCGGCCACGACATAGCCTACTTAAATGATACTCGCAGTTTACTCAAAGATGCTTTATCATTTTAATATATTTAAAATTTATATCTATAGATAGAAAATTCAGTTATATTACAAAATAATATCTCTCAAAGACAGAAATTCAGATAGGCCTCTATAGGGGACACATACACACACTAGAGTGTGGCGATCCGAGCCCGACGGCACCCGACAGGTCGGGCCGGGTTTGTCAAAAATTTAGCTATAAATTGTATTCGGGCTCGGGTCGGATTCAGTCAGCTTTCAGTGAAAATGTAGTGTAAAAATACATAAAATCCTATTGTCTGTCCTGTTTGTTGCTTGGGCACTGTTATTTACGTGACAACACCTGAACATAGCACACACAGACACATTGGCTGTTTGTTTCTACCTCTATCCTTTCTGGAAGTCTCGGACCTCCAGCCGCCAGCCTCCGCCTTGATTAAACACTGAAAATAAAATAAAAGAGGGAGACAGGTTTTTCCTATTTTATCTTATTTTGTTTTATTTCTCCCTCTCCTCTCGCTAGAAGCGTCGGACCTCCCGCCTCCCGCTCCTGTCTCAAACACGGAGGTCTCCCTCTCCGCTGAGCACGCCCGGCCTGTTAAATAGCCTGTAACCGTAACAACTGTGTGACACAAAGTCAGTGCTTTGGTCATTAAATAATGTCGGGCTCGGTTCGGGTTC